TCTTGTATATTGGGCGGAGTCGCGACAATTCATTTGATAATTTAAAATATAGAACCCTAGTATGCAAAGAGAATTGCAATGATGTGTTCTTTTTGCTGGTTACAGATTACATGGGAATGAAAAGTTCATGTTTAGGCGCCCACTCGGGCTCCTTGAACAAAACTTTAGTCGCCCGCACTCGTAACTTAGGCGCCTCAGGCGACTGGGCGCCCGTTAGGCAGCAGCCTTGTTCACACATCACCAAAAATAGTTGAATCCTCTACATGTATCACAGAGCTACAGGAGGCACACAAGAGCTAGGCCAAACATTGCTCATTTCAAAAGACCACCAATAAAATAATGGAAAATGGATGGACAACATCAAGGTCAGCACAATGCTTTTTTTGAAAATCAGAATCTGGATCCAGAAAATTAAAACAATGCGCAACAGAAAGGAAAACTAAACAAGTTTATTAAGTTGTTCAAAAGGTGGATAAAGCTATCCACAAGATAAATAATCAATATCCATGCAGTGGATAGCATGGTTTGTTTTGCTAACACTTATCCACAAAGCATGGCATAATCTATCCTTCAAACAACTGGGGCCTGACTGTTTTGTCCATTGATATTAAATAATGATAGACAAATCTGAACACAAATCCAAAAACAGATACAAAAATTCTTGTAAAGGCCCAAGATTTCCGCCATAAATTGTGTGGCTAATTTGCACCTTTCACAACTCACACTGCCTTCAGGACCACAAAATGTCAGTTACAAGTAAGCAATGTGGAAAAAAGAAAAATCAACAACCAAAAGCAATTGATAGTGACAGTACCTTGATGCTTGATCATATGTTGGGTGCCAGTTCTGGTCTAGACAGTAGTAGTTGCTGTTGATTGGTAGTGGTGATCGGCCCATGCAATACACATATTTTTCCCACCAATCCGTGTGATAATTCGGTGCCCACCATGATTTCAGTTTCAGGATGAACTGCAGTTTAGGACCCAGATTCTTTTCAAAATCCTAAAAACACAAAACATCAAGATATTCCAGGACAATTTACAACGGTTGTAAACTTGTAACACCTGTTATGCCCGAGTACTCTTTGTATGCTTGATGGGACCTTGATGTAACTGATGAACATGCCATTGTTGATACAATTCACCCACAAAGTAACAAGTTTGTTTCTGGTGTGAAGATCAAAGCAACAGATAACTAAAAACGTAATCACATGTACAGTCCCTCCCGTCATTCTGTACGTATAATGGTTTATGATACATAATCATTTACATTTTTGCCAAACCAATTAAGCTCTGTTTGGATGTTTTTTAAAATTTCTTTTGAATTATTCTAATTAAACAAAATTTGTTGGATTCACTGTTCAAGTAGGCACAAGGCCTCTTTCGAGCCTACAATCACAGTAGTAGTTCAGATTTAATTCTGATGTTCATAGCATGAAGCCAAGATGATATCCCATACCATATCACAGGTTATTCACCCCNCCCCCCCCCCTCTCCCAACCCAATTACAATCTGTCAAAAATTCTAGGATGGAAAATGGCACATTTAAAAAAAACAAACAAATAAACACTGTCTTGCCAAAGAACATAGCCTGCAGTGCAGGCGTTTTCCATATGTTCACGAGTTAGCTGTATTAGCTCACGATCAAGTAGACTCGCTGCCATGTTGGTTTAGAAAAAGTGGGCGGGGAGGGGGTGGTTACTCCTCTTTCAGCCTAACTCCACTCCCTAGGACACCTTTTTTGTCTCTCCCCAAGCGTCTTGGATCAAGTTTGAATCCAAGATGGTGCTCACTTGGTCAAATGCGCTCTCTCGCCAAAATATGCCTGCGTTGCAGGCTACAAGGAACACAATGACAAAACCTTGCTAAGGTTGAATACTAGCCACGCTATCCAGGGTCTTCATCATTGCCAATTCCTATTCAGGCATGTTCATGTGCAGTATAACAAGAGTCAAAGAAAGGAAATTCAGAAGAGATTCTCTGACCAACCAGCCAAGAGACAACTAACTGTTACTACCCTGAAACAAGCTACAAGTACATTGTAGTCTTACAACTCAACACTTAATCAATTGCTTTTCTAGTGGCCGAGAGCTGCCAAGAAATTTACAAACCCACCTTGGCAAGTGTTTCCATCTTTTTGTACTCTTCTTCATCAAAGATTGGTTTTATAGAACGTAAAAGTCCTTTACAAGTGTCACTCAGATTTGGCACAGGCATTCTTGGAAGACTGTTCTGATAACTATAGAGTTTAGGGTAATGACCAGCACAAAGCTTTACCATTGCACCCCACAACAATGTCAGTTTGCTCTGTGATCTTGGAGGTTCATCTTAAAGAAACAAGAATTACCAAAATGAGTTAAACTTGTTCCAACAATTTGTGTTCCTACAACAAGTAGTAGTGCCAATAAGTCTCTTTGTGTAAACTAAACTTTTTCATCAAAATAACACTTGGGACTTTTGGAACTTTAAATTTGGTGCTTTCACCAGTGAAGGGCTAAATAATGAACAAATGCTGGATAACTTACACATCCATTGCCTGTAGGATAAAAGCATCCTTAAAATATACTGTCGCAGATAGAGAAGTGTGACAAAGAATACCACTCCCACCAGAACTGACACAACTATAAGCCGGAAGTTATAAGGATATGCTTCATCAAGATTGAGAAGGTATGTCACTTTCCACAAGACTCCTGTGACTCGCTGAAGTGACGAGAGCTCGTAGAAATCAGCTGCATACAAAAGGGCAGCGATAATGACCACAGCACCTAACAGGTTTGACCATGTTGTCGGCCATAAGCCATTAGTTATCTGTCGGCTGAAAACAAAATACAGAACGAAAGGGATTAAAATACACTATAGATCAGACCAGTGGGATCATAATAATTAGTAATATTTAACAATTAGACCCGTAGCCCTTGCGGGCTATGGGTCAATAGCCCATGAGGCGAAGCCGAATGGGCCATTGAACCGTGGCCCTAGAGGGCGAAGGGTCTAATTGTTTTGGTATCACCCAACTAGTCGGACAGAAAAGACAATAATAAAGTTAGCAAATGTAAATTGAAGAAATATTTATTTGGGAAAAGCGTCACGCTCCATTGCGCCAATTTCGCTACTCGAGGACTATTACTAATAGACCTCTAGTAGCGTAGCCAATTAAAATGCAGGATTTGCATTAGTCCACCAGTTGGGTGATACTATTACATTGTAGATTATGGGTGTAAGATTTCTATGAGGGGATACATGTAGTTGATGGGGTCAAAGGCCAAATCAACCATCACCATATGAGAATTGAGCATGAATAGTCTAATTGTTACAGTAGAATTCTAACTACATGTGAATTTCCTTAAATATTGATTTCTTCTTTCCCTACATTTTAAAGTGGTACTATGATTGAATTTTTCCCCCTTGATTTTTCAGGTGTATCACATAGAATTCCATGAAAGAATAAAAACGCCGTTTATCTGGAGATATTCAAGCATGAAAAATGTGTAAAATATGCAAATGAGATGACTGATGACGTCATACACTTAACCCAATTTTATATCAAGTATATAAATAGAGCTATCTTGATCAATTTGCAGTGCAAACCATTGAAACTTGGTAGACTAATAGTTCTACAGGAAACACACCTACATGTGCCGCTATAAAAAATTCTGTTCCCATGGCAACTCACTCTTTTCCAGTCCCCACCCACTTGATCTCAATATGCTAGTGATTTTCAGCTTGCAAAACATTAAACAAGGTGACAAACTTGAGCTAACATGTGTATATGCTTGCTGGATCAAGCATATGAGGTACCATTTGCAAATATCAAAATGGAATGCCAAAGGTGGCCAGAAATGCCTTTAATTTTGGGGAGGTCTGAAACCCACTATGTTGTCATGGTAACCAAACTGTTAAGTTCATTTTGTGGAGCACATTTAGTAGAATCTTACTGCAAAGAATCAAACATTTCTGATACAAATTGGCTGAGATATCTTTTTTCATCATATTTGATCAAAATTTGGTTCAGAATCAATCAGAATCAAGTAATTTTTTTCATGTATATTATTAATGTCTAAGTGGGATATCTTTGTATAATTGTACATGTGTGAGGTCTGACAAGATGGCTGGATATTGGCCAAGCTCTTTTTCTGTGTTTTTATGTATGGACCAAGAAATGGTTCCATAAACAAGGGGGAAAAAAGAACAAGGCCAATATCAAGCCATCTTGACCCAACAAACTTAGTCAATAAAGGATTTTAGACGTGGTATAAAGAGCACCATTTGCTTGCAGGTGATACCAAGCAGGCAAGATAGCCCCAACTTGCCAACTCAGGTAACCAATCACAGGGCAGGATTTAATTCATTGTGCACAATCATGTCACTTGTGGAGCTGGCCATAAAAGAAAGCGAGTTAACCGTTGCCTGAAGAGTCTAATGGGATAAAAGAATTCAACCCTTGCTACTGTCAGTTAATCAACTAGGTGAAACTGTATTTGATTACAAATTTACATAAGGAAATTTCAATAGAAATATTATCACACACAGTAAAATTAAAATCTGGTCTCTATATAGTCTATATAGATAATAACAGACGTAATTTTTTATTTTAAACTGAATCAAATGACAATTATCAATAATTGGGCGCAGAAAGAATCTCAGAAATCAGCGGGATACCAACATTTCTGGGTTCAAAGTCCGTTCTGAATCACGCGGAAAATAAATTTAAAGGTGTATGGTGTTTTAAAACGCTTCAGGGAGCCAAAACAATAAGAACTACTGCAGTCGAGAAAATGTTAATCGAACATAAAAGAAAAATTCCTCTTCCGCACAAGACAGGGAAACTGGACAAAATCAAAGTTTCTACAAGAACTAGAAGCATATCAGTACTTGTCGTATGTGTCATCAATAGAATATCAAACACACGGTTTCAAAATAACACGAGTATTCCTGGTTTTTGCTCAAAGCTCTAAGGTACTTCAGTTAACGAGCAAATTACAGGTACAGTGATAGCCATTATTTTTTGAATGTATTAGAATGAAACTGAAAACCGGAAATCGTCAATTGCACTCTGTGTACGTGAGCTCCAACTCACACGAAATACACAAAATGTCGGCAATAACTTTTGGTGAACTTAAATAACAAACTTCTATACAAGTTTGTCAATAACAAAACGGAAGAAGATTTTTATTTTATCTAATGGGTAAAAGAGAGTTTCCTCTGCTTTGTCCAGTAGGTAAATTTGGTAAAGAAGGTTAAGCGCGAGGCTGTAATAACAGACAATGCAAATGATGTAAACACGAACTGCCTCTGAGAAACTGACAACCTAAGCTTACCAGTAAGGCGTTTGAAAACGAGAAATCGTAGATCGTGAGCGAGATAACACTTAATAATTTGAATTAAGTATGGATGGAAAATGACATGATGTGACAGATATAAACTTGAAACAATCGTGGGAATTTCTTATTGTAAACCACGTGCCCCAACTCACCGAGTTCTGAAAGCGCATCTCCTGAGGGATTTGAATGTACTTTTTAGCAATTCAACTTCGCCTTCTGTTGTACTTGTTCCCTCGGCGTGTAGGCGAACATCGGGCCGCGTTACTGCTGCCCTGGCTTCAGCCATGGTGCCTTATAGCGAGACTTTCCCAAACAAAAAGTTCGCTATGAAGGTAAAAGTCCTTTCGACCCGACACACTTCCACTTCATCAAAGTTTAGTTGTCGCTTGCTTCTCGCTCCGCTTCGTGTCTGTTTTGCTTTGATTTGAAAACCAATCATATTTGAGCTAAGAAATACAACGAAACAATGATAACCAATCAAATTTGTTCTTAGTTGATGAATATTAACGCTACGCTTGATTGACCTTGATTGACCTCCATTAGTCTCTGTCTCGCTTCGTTTCCCGCCAAAGTTTTTGAACACAGAAACGGAGATGGCTTCTGCTCGAAAGTTTGCTTGCGTCGTAGCTGTGGAAAAAAACGGAGGAATTGGGAAGAGCAACTCTCTTCCTTGGAAACTGCCGTAAGCTAAACGACAATTTTAACTTAGCTAAGTTTGAAAAACAATACTTGTGTAATTGCTTGCTTCCCTTCGAAAACTTCACGATCTGAAGTAGTGATTTGCACTCAACATCAACATTTAACATGAACTTACATTAGTTGAAGTGTACAATGGAGATCTTGCTTGGAAAGTGAGTTAGAAGTCGATTTCTACTCATGGAAGTTAGGTCTCTACCTCAATTCTTTGCGCGATGTTCAAATTTCATCCTGCGCATAGCTTCACGTCCTACATGTACTGCTAGCAGTAGAAGTGAAGCAGCTCAGAAAAGCTTCGAAATTCGAATGAAGTTGTATTACTCGTACTTGGGAATCAGAAGGATTGAACGCCTCTTTGTCCTGTAAAAGATTCATTTTTGCAACATAGGGAATTCCAAGATGTAATTTCTACTTTTTCGATGCATTTTCTTTCAAACCACGGCGTGACTGAGATGAGAAGGGAGGGGGATAAATGTATATGCAGGGTGGGGAAAGGGTATGGACGAGGTGGGGCGTCCACAACAACACATTGATAAAAATATCCGAATTGCAGAAATAAAGTACAAGAAATATATTAGGGTTAGCAAACCGTTGAAGAAAAGATCAGTAAAATGTAACAAAAAAATACGGGGTGTAAGAAATGTGTCCCATCTCTTGCTCCTCTCCAATATGACCTCTCTGTTATTTTTGTTCTGTCTTGTCATTGTTTGATTGATTGATGCTTAATTGTTTTGATTACTTTCAGTCCAAATAGATGGATGTGTTTGACAACAAACCTTCAATTAAATTTTTAGATTTCTGAATTTTCAATTCTAAGGAAGAAACCAATATACCGGTACCAATCAGTGAACTGAAAAAAATAAATAAATAAAAAAACCACTATGCTTACATATGCTAGCATAATTATGTCACCAAAATAAAGCTTTGTTGGCAGGCTTAAATCTTGGTTTAAAAGCTTTTATCTATGAAACACTTTTACAGTAGTAAAAAGGACTAATAATTTACCATTTGATTTCAGCAGTAGTTAAACTTGTGTATGAATTCAAACTTCTTTTGTTGTTCTTGTTCTCAGTGGAGATATGAGGTTTTTTTCACATCTCACAAAACGAGTATCCACTAAAGGTAAAATACTTGGGCCTGGTTGTTCAAAGTACAATTTAACAAATCTAGGATTGACATGAAATTTGGTTTCACTTTATAATTTCAGTGAGATTTTCTTTTGGCTTCCTTCCAGTGTTGTGTTGAGTAATCGCATACCTCTATACAAGTAAAATTTAGACCACAATCACCTCCTAGATTATCGTTAATTGTTTTCAGAAAAACCCTGCCCTGATCTTTAACCTTGCATGTCTCAATAGTAATTTAATTAGCCTCCTATTTTTCCCTAGGTAAACAGTGAGCTATGTAAAGTAAGATTCAAATAATAAATCCCCATTCCTTAAAAAGTAAGGTAAACCTTCCCAAAAATACCCCCTCCCCCCATCCCTCATCTTAACATTCTAATATCGTTCTGATAAGAAGCCTTACCAAACTGTCCATGCACATAGGCTTGAATTTAGATTTAGCTCTTAAAGAAAGATATAATTTCTTCCAATAAGCTCAACAAAATGGGGTTCATAATTATTATAAACCCCATTTTTGTTGAGCTTCTTTTGAATTTAACATTGCTCTAACATTCTCATTGGTGTATTGTGTTATTAAATTCAGAAAACATTCATACTTCACCACAGATAGTTTTTGCTTTGAAGCCCTTCATCAAGTAAAAATTAGCAGTAAGAATGAACAAGATTTCGGAGTCGTCATGACACCATTTTCAAGTTGAAAGATAGGAAGTAAACTGTCAGAAGAAGATTATCAGTATAGTTTCATACTCTCGTTTCCTCCTGCCCACACAACATTTCCAAATTATGACCTTCAATAGGATTGATATGGATATTTTCTGGAAGTGCACAATGTACAAGTCTGTTCAAGTGAATATTATTATGTAAAACATGTTTTATGTTTCGTATAATTATCACGTTTACTAAACAATTTGACCATATGGCATTCACATACAAAATAACAACATCTCAGGTTATTTTAAAAAGATTGTGTTTGTTTGGTTTTCTGTAATAGGTAAACAAAACGCTGTTATCATGGGTCGAAAGACATGGGAATCCATACCAGGAAAGCACAGACCTCTAGGAGACAGAGTTAATATTCTGTTGAGCAAAAGCCTGAGGTACAGTTGTTAAACTCCACATAAATGCAATTAGGATATTTTCATAAGCTATAATTTTTCATGTATAATTTTTTGTTAGTGAACTATGTCAAACTTACCCAAAACTAAAAGCAAAACAAAAAAAAAACAGATGGAAATTATCAAACAGTCTAAACAAAAACCATGAGGATTATTGACAATGTTTTAAAGGAGCTGTTTCATTTTTTTTTTTTTCTGGAAACTGTTACAGACCATGTTATTTATTATATGCAAGGGAAATTAATTTTTCAGTTTTTATGTTATTTTGAGAAGTGAACCAGTAAACCATTGAAGCAACCTGAAAATTAATGCTAGGTAGGGTAGGGGGGTGTAGAAAATAGCCAGTAATGGACATGCATCCCATCCTGGAGACAAAGATTAACCTCTCTGAAAGGGACTACTTTGAGCCCAGTGCATTTACATGTGCATCACTGAAAACATTGGTTTCCTCTTTCTACTTGCAGTACAGCACCTGAAGGCACCCACCTCTGCTCCAGCCTGCAAGCTGCCTTTGACCTGTTGTCTACTGACTCATTCACAGAGTCTGTGGAGAAGATCTTTGTTATTGGTGGAGCAGCAGTTTACAAGGTAGGTTTTCACTTCTGCATAAATTTAACAAAAACTGATGACAATGTCACCCTGCAAAATTGCATGGAGAGTGAAAAGCTGATGAGGCTGCAAGCTGAACTGCCAAAGACTTACTGAACAGTAATCAATCGGGTTGCAAGCTTGCCAATAATTAATTAGACTATTAACTGAAGTGGACCCCATATTAAGCGGACAACTCTATTACCAGTAAGTGGACACAAGCTGAAGTCCTAAAATTTTCTTCCCATATTTACAATAAAATAAACCAGCATTCAGCAGACACCTCTGTTAAGCAGACATGGGCACCAATATCAAGCCATTTTGTTGCACAAAACCTGCAATAAGCAGACACTTTAAGGGCTTTTTACTTCTAAAAGTCCAGCTGAGACTCCTTTAACATTGTTCAACAATCTCGTTCTAAAGCTAAGTGATTATTCCAGATTGATGCATCAGTTGATTAGACATTGTACTATACTTGTCTTTGATCTTACACTGTGTTACACTGTGTTACATGAGTTAATTAGACAATAGCTTTTTGTTCAAACTTTGTCCACTGAATATTTGTCATATGATANCGCAAAGCTTATGATTAGTTGATTAAAATGACTGGAAAAAAAATTGGGGTGCCCGTGCTCGTTGGTGAGCTAGAGCCATTTTTCAACTGACAGAGCTCACTATCAAGGCAAATCTGTCATGTTTTCAATATGTGTGCGCACAAGCGCGCGCTAATGACACCATAAATTATGCACAGTAAGGATGCACAATGCATATGTGAGGAATGACCTTAATACAGGTTTCGCTGTATACACCTGGGTGGAGAGTCTCTGTGAGAGTCAAGTGTCTTGCCCAAAATTGCAGATACCATATGCTGTGACTCCTACCAGGGCTCCACTTTTGACTGCTCAATCCAGGGTCTGGACATAGTTATGGTCTGGAGTGCTAACCTTTTTTGCCACCATTCCTCTTGGCTTTTATGTCAAGTTGAACTAGACATCCATTATGGTGGCAATTAATGACAGTTTTCAAGGCTGTTAACCGTATTAGTGTTAATCATGATCATGGTGGTTATTGACAACTGAGATTACCAGGAACAACAAACGTACATGATTAAGTAAAATGTTCATGACTGCCTAATCATGTTATTTCAATCCTTCAGGAAGCCTTGGAGCATCCTAGTGCGCACCGCCTGTACATTACACATGTATTGGAAGATTTCAACTGTGATGTGCACTTTCCAGACTTTGACAAAAATGTTTTTAAGGAAATCAGGTCGGTACATTACCACTTACATGCAAGACAAACCATTTCTTGCAATGCTTAGATGGCATTGCTTGTAGCAGATTGGTCAGTCTTCCACAAAAAAATTGCCTTAAGTTTATTATCATGGCAGTGTGATTTGTTTTTAGTTGGAAATATGGAGTGGCTTAGCAAAGCGGTGCTAAGTGATGTATGCTTATGTGAACTTCAATTAAATGTTACTTGCAAAATAATTTTTTTGGGGGGGGAGGGCATGTGCTGCTTGCTATAGGTAAAGTACGGGCATGACAAGAGATAAAGGATAAAGTTATTTATAGCTGCAATAATCAATTCCAAACAAAAAAATGTCATTAGTTGAAGCTTCTGAAGGTTTGATATCAATAATCTCTCCTTTTGTATTTCATTTGAATTCAGGACCTAGTATAATTTTTGAGACTAACAGTGACAGCAAAATCTGGATAAATGTTAGCAACCTAGAACTAAAAGGGATACTCACTGTCAATAAAATCAATACAAATACTGACCAAGAAGTTTGCTAGAGTAATAAATCAAACTGTGCATGAAATAAAGTCAATCATTATTGTCTCTTTTTAACTTTTAGTGACTCTGATGTTCCAAGTGAGATGCAAGAAGACAATGGAATCCAGTACAAGTTTCAAGTGTACCAGCGAGATATCTAATTCCATGTATTAGATAGTTTTTATATATATGGCTGCATCACTGCATTAAACTAAATCAATAAAACATGAAACAGAATAAGACGTCACTAGTAAAGCAATGGAAAGCAGCTCTGAAAAGCCTTTGAGGCTTCACAGCACAAATATTAAAAGAATGAACTTAATTGAAATAAATAAAACGATCATTTAGTGATCCTTTGTTTACCTGTGTTGTCTCTATGGGTCATATGATAGTCTAACAGTTGGTTAGAGTCCAGATTGAGTCCATGTCTGTAGTATGTGGCATGCTTGGGAAGGGCACCATCTCTCTCCACCTATGAGTACCTAAACTATTAGGGGAGTGGGGGGGGCCTTAGGAATGGACCAGTTTGAGAGAAGTGATACATCTCAGTCACTTGATGCTATGGAAACCAACATAGGGGAGCTTAAGCACGCGCGTTTTTGAGACGCGGACGACAACCGGAAGAGAAGATTTCGCATGCTTGGACTGTATTGTCCTCCAGATTTTTATACTACTCGTCTCTAATGAAGAAAAGATACTTAGCAATGTGAATATGGTTGTGTGAGGACAAGTTTAAAGTGAAAAAAGCTCACTTCCGGTTACCGTCCGCGTCTCAAAAACGTGCGTGCTTAAGTTCCCTATAAACTTTGCTAGAGAGGGAACTTTGGCTTGACTGCAGATATTTCAACATTCTTACCTACAAAAGCATATCTAGAGTCACTTCTACACAAGGCATAGAGCCAAGAGAGTTCCTAGCTTATCACAGGTTACCCTAGGCATTTTCTGTCATGTTCCCTTGACAATACAGTGGTATCCAATTGGGAAAGTTGCCATCCCCCAAAACACATAATAGGCCAAGCGGTGGCTACAGTGGACAACACACTGAGCAGTAGATCTCCTTCCCTTCCCTTCTGCAGATAAATTAGTGTCAGCATTCTGCTGTCAAAGAATCACATGCTTGTAAGCACTCGTAGTTATTTCATGCTTAACTGGAGTACTAACAAGGATGGACCACCAGGTTCCTCAACTCAGAGGAATTAGACAGACTCTACCTTTCTTGCCATTTGTAATTGAAAACAATAACCTTGTCAAGCATTTCACTGTTTTATTTTAGTTGTTTTAGCGTCGCTATCAGAAACACATGCAAATGAATGTAAATTAAACATTTGTAAAGCAACCCTCCCTTCATCCTACTTTCCAATCTAAATTATCTTCCTATGAAGACTATGAAGGTAATACAAGTGTCATATATATTGGATTTCTCATTTCTTCTCAGAGTCTATGGGCAAATAATTTAGTTATTTTTATTGCGTATGCACTGAATATTTAATAAACAATGGTCGTTATTTTCAGCACTGTGTTTATCTAGTAATCTGATGAGACGTGGTGTATTTACCAACCATTGTATGATTTTTGATACCTCTTTCTGTAAAGCAATTATTAGTGTCTTACCAGTAAAATTAAATAAGTGCAACTACATGTATATCTTTGACTCTTCTGGTCTGTAAACAGCTCTTGTTAGAGTTCTACCACCTATATACATACATGTACATGTAAAGTAGGTTTATACAATTTTGATGAGCTAGGTTAAAGCATTAAGTGCTAAGTACGAATGAGGGATAAGTGATAAGTAATGAAGGTAAATGCGACCAAGTCATGTAACATTAAATGCTACCCAGAGCTTCATCAGGCATTGCAGATGCAGGTCTGAAGTATTTGTATAACTCGCAAAGAGATGATATTGTCCCAAGAAGACCAACAGATCCAATTGATAGCTTTCCTGCCCAAAGAACTCCAGAGGGTGCCCAGTTGATTGCCATCCCTAAGTCAGCAGTAAACCCAACGACAGAGATGAAGAGCCGTTTCTGCAGAAATCTTATTTGATCTTGCCTTGTTGAACTGCCTGATTCTCTGTGGCTTTGTGGAATGTTGCTATCAGTTGATTGTGTCCTGGACAAAAGAATGAAACAAATTTTCAAAATTACCCAGTACCTGTACTGGCCAGTTAGAACATAGTTCTAACTATGGTTAGAACTTCAACAATTTTGAGACATTTGGAGACAACTAATCTTTTGTACCACCAATTCTTTACGGAACTAACATACAAGCTAAACAACTAATGAATATTCTAGAGCTGTTGTTTTCAGACTCACCAATAATGCACATCTTTGTTACCATTATTTAAAATAACCAATTATAAGAGGGTAAATTACATGCTCAAGACAGTAAGTTTCTTACATTTTCCACCTTGCAAGTACTCTAAACATCCTTTTTAACACCCTGGAATTTTTCTTTGCCTTTTTCAATTTTTTAAACTTCCAATAGTTTAGTCTACCTTAATGATCACATAGAAATGTAAACATTGCTACCTAGTTTGTTGCATGTAACTTAAAAACACCATCCAAAAAAGTCTGACCTGGATAGCTGCTTGTTCTTTTCTTGTTGATGAAGCTTTCTGAGAAGCCATAAGTCTCTTACAATGCAAGCTATAAGTGATCCTATCCAGCAGTAAAGAGACCAGTCCCACAGTTTGTCAGATTTGCCATGAAGTAATTTCTTGTCCCTTGCCCAGGCAATGTGCTCAAGAGGGTAAAAAGTCAAACCACAGAAGATGTCAACAAGATTACTCCAGCGGACAATGGTATCACGCTCCTGCAAGAAAGACAAACTACATCCTTCATCCCAGTACAGTATATAGCAATGCAATAAAAATAATTCATAGTTGTTATTTTTCCCCTGAATCTTACAAACATGTTTCATTAAAAAAAAAAGATGATTCATGGATTAATGTTTACTTTGAAATTAATTGTGACTGCCTGTCTGTCTGTCTGTCTGACCCACTGACTGACTTGAGCACTAATTGACTGTCTGTCTGTCTGCCTGACTGACTCACTGTCATCGACTGACTGACTGACTCACTGTCATTGACTGACTGACTGACTGACTCATTCACTCACTCACTCACCCACTCACTGACTCACTGACTGACTCACTGACTCACTGACTCACTGACTCACTGACTCACTGCCTGACTCGCTGACTGACTGACTGACTCACTGACTCACTGACTCACTGATTCACTGACCGAGCGACCAACGACCGACTAACTTAACTGATCGACCATACCCCGACCGATTGATCTACTGATCATCGACTGACGACCAATAATCGATCAAAGACTACCTACCGGCCGATTGACGAATTGATTGACTCTCCATTCTTGCTATTACTTACCTGTTTACCAGTTCCATAACTGCGTGCGTACGAAAACATAGCAGCGTCATCGAACAAACGAAGGACCGTCCGACATTCGCTTATCGCTTCAGCAAAAATTCGAAATTTCTCCCCACTGGATTCACGCGACAACTTCTGTAACCCTCCACTTGCCAAAAAACTGGCATATTGAAGAATTCGCATTAACTTCTCTCTTCCTCTGTACGTTTCCAATACACTTGCTAGATACTCAACTGCCATGTTGTTCCGGTGAACTTTGGCCGACACCGGTTTCTTCCAGGCGTTCTTTCTTCACACGATAGGACCTGGAAACAAGCCTCTCAATCGCGCTAACTTGCTGATTTTTACAATAACGTAACTGCCGAAATTCTCGCGCGTTCATTGGCTAATTTTCATTAGTATCA